ATGATGGCCGACGTCCTCGCCGCCCCCTCACTCTCATCCGCAACTGCGGGGTGCTACGGTCTTGGCTTCACCCTGCTTTCCCCCATCAAGAAACCGGGTTCTGGTGGGTCCTTGGGCATTTTTCAGGAGGGAACAGAAAACACACAGACACAATGAATCGTCGATCCCCCAGAAAATATGGGAAAATATGGGAAGTGGGGGGAAGACAAAAACCTAGAAAATACATCAAATGATTGGGAATCCTTTCATTTGTGTATTTATTTGCGTGTCCCTGGGCCCCTTCAATTTTGGTCCCAGAGTTTGGCTCTGCTTTTTCTGACGCTGTCGGCCGCCGGCCGCGGCCCCCCCCGCAGGGTGCCGCGCAGAGCGCGAGCTGCCGCACCCCCCTGCCGAGCGCCCCAGACACGTGTCCTGACGCCGCGGCATCAGCAGTCGCATCCTGGCGGCGCGACGCGCCTCACACACACACACACAGACACACACACACACACACACACACACACGTGGAACCGAGCCTCCTCCTCCTCCTCCTCCTCCTCCTCCTCCTCCTCCTCCTCCTCCTCCTCCTCCTCCTCCTCACACACACGTGGAACCGACACGCACAGATGATATGCGTTTTCCACAGACTGTTTCTGTTGTCCACCGTGTGTGTTTTTTTCCACAGGCACCCCCTGCCGAGTGCCCAAGAAACGTGTCCAGACGCTGCGGCCGCAGTGGTCGCGTCCTGGCGGCGCGAAGCGCCGCGTCGCCAGGGGGCGGATGGAGGTCGCGGGCCGGGCAGCCCCACCACCCAGGGCTCATTTGGATTCCTCCGAGTCGATTCGACTCGGTTTCGGAAAAAAAATCGAAAAAAAAAAAAAATCGAGAATCGAAAAAAACGCTAGGATTCCGATTTCCTAATCGACTTGACTTCAATTTATTCTGTTCAGGACATCAACTTATTCATTCATTCAAATCCATTTCGACCTTTTTATATCACTCGCTTCAACACATTTTTTCGATTATCCCAGACATCCATCGGGGGGGCTTATCCCGATTTCTCACCGGAGGTCCTAAAAGCCCCGCATGCCGAATGTCCGCCGATACGCCGTGTTCCCCCGGGACTCGGCTGCCGATGTCCGCCGATCAGTAGGGGACCGCATGCCGAACCCTACCCCTACCCCTAAAACCCCCCAATACGAGTTATCGGGGTGAGGGCGGTTCGGTCGGAGTGGAAGGGGAGGTTGGGTCACATCATCGCCGGGAGCTCCCGACCGAAGGAACCCCACCCTCACCCCTACAGAAATCTAGGGGTAGTGGGGTAGGCGGTTCGCATTTGGGCCCCCCTACGAACGCCCAAACCTCGACTGGCGATCCGACTTTTCGATTCGACTCTGGGCTCTCCTGCGTCGACACCACGGACGACCGAAGGCCCTCGACCCCTCGGCGTTCCGAGCCCCGAGCCAGGGCTGGCCTCCGCTCCCCTCCGACACCGACCCTCCACCTCGACGTCGACCCCCTCGACCCCTCGACCCCTCGACCTCGGCCCTCGTTCTCCCTCGACCCCTCGACCCCTCGACCCCTCGACCCCTCGACGTCGACCCCCTCGACCCCTCGACCCCGACGACGACCCCTCGACCCCTCGACCCCTCAACGTCGACCCCCTCGACCCCTCGACCCCTCGACCTCGACCCCCTCGACCCCTCGACGTCGACCCCTCGACCCCTCGTCCCCTCTCCTGCGTCGGCTCTCCTGCGTCGAGGCCGCGGGCTGGGCAGCCCCACCCCCCCTCTGCGGGACGGGGTCCGGCCTCGGCCGCACGGGGGCCGCAGCAGACTCCTCGCCTCGGGGCGGCGGCTGCAGCGAGGCGGCGGGAGGGAGGGCGGGCCACGGGGTCGCGGGGCCGAGGGCCCCCCTCCTCCTCCTCCTCCTCCTCCGCCTCCTCCTCCTCCTCCTCCTCCTCCTCTCCTCCTCCTCCTCCTCCTCCTCCTCCTCCTCCTCCTCCTCTCCTTCCTCCTCCTCCTCCTCCTCCCTCCTCCTCCTCCTCCTTTCCTCCTCCTCCTCCTCCTCCTCCTCCTCCTCCTCCTCCTCCTCCTCCTCCTCCTCCTCTGCTCCCCCCAGGGCGCAGGCAGCAAGGGTGCCCTCGAGGGCGCGAAGTTATTCGCGCTTCGCGCTTCACGGTTCGGCTCCGATTCCTCATCCTCCTCTGCTCCCTTGGGAGGCGGCGCGAGAGCGCGAAGTTATTCGCACTGCGCGCTTCGCGAAGCGCGAAGCGCGAAGCTGGGAGCCCTTGAGGCAGGCTGCCGCCACGAGGGCGGCGGCCGAGTGCGGGGCTTGCCCCAGTCGTCCGTGGCGGCCTTCTCTGCGACGTCCTCCCCCGGCGTCCCCAGGCGTGCAGTGTGGCCATCGCGCCGCTCGGTTGCGGACGGTCTTCGGTTTGTGCCCCACCCCTGTGGGGGAAGAGGCAGGAGGAAGACTGTTCAGGCAGCTCGCACGCCTTCTCGCCCCCGACGCGCGGAGGATCGGCGGACCGCGGCAAGGCTCTCACTCGTCGGGCATGTCTTGTTTGAAACGCGATGGTTGGGGTCCAAGTTAGGGTGATGTCACGGTAGGGCTGCTGCTGACCGAATTCGGCACAACGGCAGAAGGAAGACAGTAGGAACGGGGGAGGGAGCGCCACGGACGGCCAGAGACCCCTCGGATTGTGAAATTATTCGGGCTGTGCCGGAGCAGGTTCAGGTTCACTTGGCGGGCCCACGTCAGCATGGATCAGGGATGCGTGAATGTGGCGCGTGAGCGCCAGATCCGCGGATCGGGGAAGGTATCCCCCGAAGCACGAGGCCAGTGCAGGAGGAGTGGGGAAGGGGGGTGGGGAGAGGCGGGGGGGGGGGGTCGTAGAAGGAAGAGCGGCACAGGCATCAATCATCAGAGCCCCCCCCCCTTGCCGATAAGAAATCCGCGTGGACCTGCTCAAGCCGATGCACGAAATCCATAGAAACCCCCTCTGTATGTTCATTCATTCATCTGTTCAGTTTATGGAAGGGGTCGAGAGGAGGGGAAATGGGGGGGCAAGCCAGGTACGCTCGCGCCATATCTGACATCTCACCCATCTCTCCCAATTGTCTTGTTTTTTCTCTATCCACCGACGCGTGCCATAGTGGACCTGGATTTGTTTGATGAAGAAGGCCCCTCATGCGCAATTGGAAAAAAGGGAGCTACGTACATTGGAGGGGGAGGTGGCGGAGGAGGAGGAGCAGGAGCAGGAGCAGGAGCAGGAGGAGCAGGAGGAGGAGGAGGAGGAGGAGGAGGAGGAGGAGGAGGAAGGAAGAGAGGAAGAGAGGGGGAACAGCTGCAGGAGCCGGAGTGGGAGAAGCGGGAGTAGCAGGATGATTAGGGGAAGGCGGGGGAGGGGAAAGGAGCGGGGCGACAACGACAGGTGAGCAGTCGAGTCTAGAAAAATGACCGTCGTTGGGGCGAGTTCGCCATTCGCAAAGATAGGAGTGCAGCGCCGATCCTAAAACGATGTCAAAGCTGCAGCGGGAGCAGTAGTTCAATATACCGAGAACGTTCCGATCGAACAGCAAATTATAGGAACGACCAACGGTTGAGATCCTGTAAGTGAAAGAACACTGCGCAGTGGGGTTCGTTCCACTCCTTGGCCATATTCAGGGGCGAGAAGAGAGTAGTGTTCATAGTGAGCAAGTTTGGAGGACTCGGGGGAAGGCAGGGACAGCGTTAGGGGGGAATGGCTCCAGGGGGTGCGTCGACCCCCAATTGCCCATTCATCGCCGACACGGTCCTGATAGCCCACCCCGCCAAAGAGCGTGTGGCTTGAAGCGGTTTCGATATCGGGGCCCTATCAGCGATGTATCGCCAATTCAAGACTCGAGAAGGGGCGGGTCCTCTAAGAAGGTTCGGAAGTCCTCCAGCCTTCTGAAGAGTGTTCCGAGCCTTCCCCGAAGACAGGAAGAGGCACTTCTCGGAGGGCCCGAGCGCAGTCAGAGCACGCCGGAGCTTTCAAGATCCTGCAGGGTCAGGAGCGCGCTGACCCGGGCCAGGGTGCAGGATCTTGCAAGATCCTGCAGGATCTTGCAAGGCTTGACTGACCCAGGTCTGGATTGACCCGGGTCAGAAGGTCCCCGACAGGAAGGGCCCCATTCGTCCTTTAGTTGGCGTTCTGCCTCGTAGCACGATGGCTGTAATCACGCTTCGCGGCATGGGTTGGGCAACGTTCTTCTCTCTGGGGCGGCGCGAGGGCGTGAGCCTTTCAGCATGTTCGCGCTTTGGGCGACGCGGTGCGTGAAGTTTGGCGGTTCATGTAGGTCTTGCTCTGTCAAGGGAGGGAGACCCATTCCGACCAACGTAATCTGCGTGTCCTGTTCTGCCACGTGCGTTCACGACGTAGTCTGATTATCCGTCCGACCATTCATTCTAGGCGCGTCTGCCGAAGGGCTTCGGCTCTAGGTGTGCTCATTGTGCGGTGTGTTCCTGGGCAGCCCAAATTTACCGACACCGCGGCTCCCCAGACCTCTCCTGGGGTGCGTTCTGACCATCATTTCGAAGGCCTCCCAGGAGGCCTGATACAACAAAAAGGAGGCTATATTGGCGGTGTCGGTACCTGTTCCTCCTCTGACTCACCGCGGGAAGGATCATATGGACAACCATGTCGCGCAGACCAAGTTTTGGGAGCGCTCCTTCCGGAAGGCCATGGATTTCTCCAGCAGCAAGGCTTCGGAGGACGCCGCGTTTTGGCAGGGCCAAATCCGGAAGGCCAACGCCAAGGACTTCAAGCAGCGGGCAGAGATCAACCAGAAGCAGTTGCAGCAGTTCCGCTCCCACGAGAAGCAGGCGCAGCAGTGGAAGGAGAGGGAGATCCAGAAGTGGGCGAAGAGCCTCCGGAAGGCGGAGGATGATGCTTTGAGGAAGGAGCGGGATGTAGAGAGGGAGTGGGCGCAAAAGTTGCTCGAAGCGGAGGAGGAGGCGCTCGAGGTGCTCATGGGCAAGTGATTGGTCCCGAGCCACGGCCAGGTCCCCTGGGGCGGCACCTATTGAGAGCGCAGCGTGAACATGGCCTGGCGCACTGTGCGTACCTTCTGTTCGCAAGCCCACTTCACCATCAGCTGTGCTTGTCTACTCTCCACGTTCCGCCCAGTTCACCCTCTCCGCCCACATCTTGGTTTCATCGTGCCCTCTCCGTCCCTTGCACGCCTTGTAGTTCCAGGGCTCAGACTTTCAGGTTTCGTCCGCACGGCGCGGTGTCGGTCTCATGGGCATTCCCTCATTTATCTGAGCTCGTCGCGCGTAAAAAAAAGTCCCGCCTCTTGCAGCCATCTCCTTACACGAATACCACTTCTCACGACTGTTTCTCCATCACCTCGTGATGCGGCGCACTTCCACGATTTAGCGGAAGTGGCGGCGTCCGCAGAGGGCAAGCGAGCGTGAAATGCGTGAATTTCTTTTGTCTATTCATCAGCAAGAACGCCTCGTGCACGGATGCACGCGTTGTGAATGTGTGCGTGTGGAAACCAGCGCTGGCACGATTGAACGAAACACGCGCGTGAGAAATCATACGAGCACCCGCCAGCCCCCGTCTGGGGTCTCTAGCTTGTGAACAGTCGCGTTGCACAGTCACGTGTGGGGGAGACTTGCAGAGATGGACGCTCTCGTTGTGCCTGTCCCCCTCTGCAGATCTCCCCCCCGCCTCCGAGAGCATCCTCAGCCAATCCCCCTGGAGGGTTCGCCACCAGTCCAGGCTTCCTGCGAAACAGATCCCAGGTCATGGCGCTAAGTTTAAGTCGGGCCTGTCCCCCTACAGGGGGATTTTCGACGAAAAGTTACAATTACAAATCCCTAAACATATTCAAAATATTATCCACAAATAGTATGGGGATTATTTTGTGAATCTGTTTTGGGACCTTTGTGGTGTATGTTCGTTTTCTTTTTTTTCTCAGTTTTTCGTCGAAATCCCCCTGTAAGGGGACAGGCCCGACATAACGCTAAGTGTTTGTGGATACAGTTTTTTGGGGCGGCAAAGAGGGGGGTGATGACTAGGGGGGAGTGGATATCATGGCGTGGGCCATGATATTTTCCCAGATCTCATGGCGCCTCTTCTTATTTCATTACGTCCCTGGCCCCCCCCGCTGTGCCACGCACATGCCGCCGGTCATGATTTGCACCCCCCCTCTTGGACACACCCCTCTTGGCCGCTCCCGAAGTTTACAGGATCCGCGGTCCAAGGGCCACGATGCACTGTACACTACGCTTGTCCGCGCTCCCAGCGCCACGAAACCATGCGAAATCAGCGCTATCCGGGCCACGATGCCTTGGAAATCACGCACGCTGGATCAGGCCTCCCACCGCCACGATAATTTGTAAACTGCGCAGGGTCCGTTTCCGGAAGGTTCACGATCCTGCGTAAGTTATCCAAGATCCGCGCGTCCAGGACGTGCTTCTGACGCATCATGGGGCAATGCCCAGCGGACAGGCATGCTCACGCACCCGCCAAGCCCTGACGAAACACCGATGCAAGGTAGGGCCGCATAGTGCCCGCTCCTGAAGCGGAGTTAACTGCCAGGTGCGATTATGTATGGTTGTTGTTTCCCACATCCTACGTGGTGTTTTTGTTTTCTCTGGGCACCCCGCGCAGTCCTCCCAGACCTTCTCCTCTTCACGCCCACTCCTCCCATCATCATCAGCAACAACAACATCAACATCAACATCAACTTCACCACCATTCATCAGCATCTGACTCATCATCATCACTACCACTGGCCCATCAGCACCATCAAGCCTCATCGCCGTCTACTCACTCACTCACACTGACTCGACCACCCTCATTTCCTCATAACTTACTCATTCACTCTGCGAGAAAAACCGTGATGACGGTCTTTCTTGATGACGGTCTCTGTGGCCTGTTCTCACTTAGCCACCCACGCACGAACATCACAATCGCACCTCCACACATTCACCCCCGTTCACGCATCACTTATTCTCCCATTCGCTCATTCACTGCTCCTGAGTGATTCTCCAACGCACTCAATCGTTCGCACACCATCATCACCACATGCCGCATCCTCATCAGCATCACCCACATCATCAAAATCCTCACCATCATCATCATCAGCAGCATCATCAACATCATCATAACCTGCCTGTGTGTCGTCGCCGGTGGGGGCTTCGTCTGTGCGTGTATTGCAAGGAAGTCTCACGTGGGAACCCCCTCTTCCTGGGTATGGGGCCCCCACTTCGTGTTCGTAAGCCGAGCGGGTCATCAGAACCCTGTAGCGGTCGACGTTTTTGGGATTGGGGCCAGACTATGGAGGAAGTATCGGGCGGGAACCTCATCTGTGAGTGAATTGCCAGGAAGTCTCATGCGGGAGCCCCCTCCCTATGGGGCCCGCATTTCGCACGTGTAATCCGAGCGGGCCACTGGATAACTGATACTTGTTGTCACTGTTGGGCCCCCGAGGCTTGAATATGGGGAGTATCAGACGAAAGCCTTACTTGTTAGTGTGTTGCGAAGAAGTCTCAGGCGGGAGGCTCCGCCATAGGGGGCCCGCAGCTCATGTTTTTAATCCGAAGCGGGTCACCGGAAAACTTGTATTTGTCGTCGCTCTTGGGTCCCTGAGGCTGGAACTACCGGGCGGGAACCTCGTCTGTGAATGAACTGCGAGGAAGTCAGGCGGGAGTCTCCACCCTACGGGGCCCGCAGCCCATGTTGTAAATCCGAGGCGGGCCACCGGAACCTTGTAGTTGTCTTCATGTTTGGACACCTGGGGCCTGAGTATGGAGGAAGTTTCAGGCGGGAGCCTCGTTCGTGAGTGATTTGCCAGGAAGGTTTAGGCGGGAGCCCCCTACCTATGTGGTTCGCAGCTCACGTTTGTAATCCGAAGCGGGTCATCTTCAACCTTGTAACTGTCGTCACTTTTGAGCCCCTGAGGCGTGAATCTGGGGAAGTATCAGGCAGGAGCTTCGTCTGTGAATGAATTGCGAGGAAGTCGCGGGAACTCCCGAGGCGGTTCATCGGAACCGAATAAAGGTCGACCTTGTTGGGCTCTTGGGGCGGGAGCCTCGCTTGTGAGTGATTTGCGAAGAAAGCTCAAGCGGGAACCCTTCCCTATGGGGCCCGCAACTCATGTTTTTGTGTGCGTGTGTTTTGTTTCATATGGGCGGGCCATCGGAACCTTGTAACCGTCGTCGCTTTAGGATTCTTGGGCGCGCCCCCATCGCGTTGCACTTCGGCGATTTCGCGCAGCTGAAGCCCACGGGCAGCATCGGCCTCCTGACGGACGCGAACGAGCCCCTGCTCGACGGGCCTTACAAGTACGCGTAGCCGCCGACGGTGGATATTCAGAACGCCATCGAGGTCTTCTCACGTCCCTTGCGTCTTCGAGCTGAAGGGCACGAAGCGCTTCGAGCCTGAGGGCCCTCTGATCACGTTATTGGGCTGCACGCGCGAGGGCAAGCCCTTCCCGCCAGAGTTCTGGCCCGCCCGGGGAGCGACGTTGGCCCCGGACAACCACGGCGTCCTGGACCCTCGGCATCAGCGCGATAAATTCCGGTTCGGCTACGGCATGGGCATCTAGTGGGAGACGCTGGCGAGGTGGATCAACGCGCGCGCTCGTCGCGACGCGCGGCGTCTGGGCGCGCTGCAGGCCGTCGACGGGCGCCGCGCGTTTAGGGCGATCCCGGCGCGGGCCGGCGCCTCCTGAACGCCCCGAACACGCGCCATGCTGAAATGTTCTTTTCAGCTTAAATAAGATGTAGATGATCAAGTTAACTTGGGGATGACTTAGGGAACTTGTATGTCCATCCAGATGCGTAACTTCACTTTTACCCGAGGTGAATGTATACCTTCCATAAGTTTCATAAGTGTCTCCGCCCTCTTTCCATACCATGTGACAATATGTAAAACCATGTGCAAACATGTAAACCATTGCACATGCATATGGCATTCGGTTTTTGAGGTGCGACACATGTGCCCACTTGCCTCACTTGCCCCAGTTGCCCCACTTGCCCCGCTTTCCCCACTTGCACCACTTGCCCCACTTGGCGAGAGAAAAAAAGCGGAGGAGGAGGAGCAGGAGGAGGAGGAGAGGAGGAAAAGGGTGAGGAGGTGGAGGATGTCGGCCCATTGCACGGCATGGCTGGCTGCTATAAGCAATGGCGGACGAAGTTGGCTACTGCAGACATCTGGCCACACTGGGCAACTGCAGGGGCGGCCCGCCCCCCGCGCATTACAGCTCCGACACGGTTGGCCAATTAGGCGTTAAAGAACCGCCATGGTGCACGCAGCCAGCCACATCGTTCAATCGCCTCCCTTCTTCCTCACCCCCCCTCGCCCCCCTGTCCGCCCCCCCCCCCCCCCTACCCCCTCGCGCGATGATCTCTTTCATCGGTGTGCATGCGCGAGCGCATGCGCATGCAGGCGCAGATGCACGCACACCCCGCGCGCGTCATCCGCGGCGCTCCCGCGCCGGCCCAGACCCGAGCGCACATTCCGATCGCCCCGCCGCCTTTTAGGCTCAAGCGAATATTCAGTCAGGACCGCCGTCCTAGACTTTTACTTCGCTCAGCGGCATATCCCGCTCAGCGGCGTTTTCGCTTCCATGGTTTCAAACGATGGTGACTACGTTGCCGAGTCTAGACATGGTTTGCTTCTCTCGAAATGGGTTGCATCAGATCTCTCGCTCGACGTGATGAAGACGCACTGAACTGCCCGATGTTTGGATATCCGCAGTTGGGGAGTCGAGTTCGCTACGACAGATATCCTGCGGCTCAAAGACGTGGAGGGCCCAATGCAATTGGAGGGCCCATCGCTCGCTGTGACGGCGAATGTGTGACCGCCTTCAAATTGCAGAGAGCACTTGCGGCGCTCGATCAGAGACCATGCTGGGAGATGGGCGGGCAATTCGGATTGACATTACTTCCAGTCGATATGCTCCGAGTCGGCGTTGGGCCAATTGTTGAGGGGCAGGTCGACAGTGGTTTCAGTCACCCGCCGATCGGACGCTCTCATTGCAGGGGGGACTCCAGCTCTGATTGCGCCAATGCTCAACGTTCCAGGGTACGAGCCGAAGGCCTGCAACCTCCATCGTGCTGAGGCACTCCACCAGCTTCGTGGCGGACGAGAGCTCCAAGCGCGGGTGAACCACAGCGGGCCATTGGAACCGCTCGATTTCTTGACGCCAGAAGGGAAGTTCGATCCTGTGGAATGCTGTGCGCGGGCGACCGCGTTGGGGTTCAGAGTTGCATCCCTTGCTGGATGGGACGCAGCTCTTTTGCACGGTTGCGCCCAGGGAGCTCGCGG